CTTAGTAAGGCACAGGCTGACCATTATAAGGGTAAAATGATACCCGGGGTCAAACAGCAAAGTTACCACAGCATCACAACCAAGTCAGTAACGGGTAAATCCTCCTCTGTTTGCCAAACAAGCATTGATCCGACGTGGCATACTCCTAATGAGACGTCTAAGGTCATTTTGGTCCAGATTGTCCCATTCCTGTTGCAACGCAGCAGCAAGTTCTTGGACATTGGTAGGACGTTGTTGACGTTGACGTAACCTCTGTCCAAGCATGTCCCAGACATGCTCGATGGGGGAGAGGTCGGGACTCAGTGCTGGCCAAGGTAATGTGGTGATGTTCTGTTGTTGGAGGTAACCTGTAACGATCCTGGCCCTGTGACATTTTGCGTTGTCATCCTGGAAGATGAAACGGCGGCCATGACGTCGTGCGAACGCCACAACATGGACTGCCAAGATGTTGTCCCGGTAGTACTGGCCTGTAACACGCCCTGCAACAACATGTAAAGCCGTTCTTCCAGCAACAGTGATGCCTCCCCACACCATAACAGAACCACCCCCAAATCGATCATGTCTGATGACGTTAACGTCTTGGAAGCGCTCGTTTCGACGACGCCACACCCTCCTACGTCTGTCCAAAAAATCAACAGTGAACCTTGAATCATCTGAAAACATCACATTGCTCCAGCGTCGATTATCCCAGTGTTGACGATCCCTACACCAACGACGTCTTGCCTGAATGTGATGATCTCTCAAACAAGGGATCACGCGAGGACGTCGGGCGCGAAGGTGACCCCTATGCAGTCGATTCCGAATCGTCTGGCCACTCACTCTCACACCAGTGTCTGTTTGAAGACGAGCGCTGTTCTGATTTGCTGTGATGACACGATTTCTCAAGGCCAAGGTACGGATAAATCGATCCTGGGCTTGAGTTGTCGCCCTTGGTCGACCTGAGCGTGGTCTGTCCTGTACAGATTGTGTATCACGGTATCTGGACCATAGCCTGCTTATGACAGACTGAGAAACATTCATCGGCCGCGCCACAACCGCCTGTGTTGTGCCGATCTGTAGCATGCCAAGGGCACGTAACCTTTCATTTTGGGTAAGCCGACGCATATCAAAATTTGTTTTCTGGTCACTAAAACAATTAAACTGATGTTTCCACCCTGGAATTCAATCCCACAATGACTGTAACATTCAAAGTCAGAGTCGTGCAAATCTTGGGTTGGACCCCCATGATGATCCCAAGCATCACCTGCATTCCATGCGGTAGCTATTGGTGCGTTTGGGCGTCACATGTAACTGGAAATGTTTCTTCTGTTAGGTTCTATAGTGACTTTTTTCGTAGTCATTTGCATATTTTAGTATTATGCCCCCAAAATCAAATATCCCCTACTTTTTTTGAATAGTATATTAGCGATTTAGTTCCTTTAAAGCGAATGCAAGTTAAATATTTTTAATAGCGCTTTTATCTAGTGTATCTTTTATTTTGGTTTTTCTTATAGAATAAGGCTATATAGCAATTATGTGCGGTTTTTGCTGTATAATACTAATAATGACATATCTATCCATACGTCTGTTTGTCGGGACATCCAACAATATAACAGGGCATATAATTGATAGTGAGTTGGTAGAGTTACTTGGGACCCAAGATGGCGTCTTTGTACACTTGGCGTAATGATTGTGCTGTGCAGAGGCGTAGCCGTGAAATATATATGGGGGGGGGGGGGGTCCGCAACCCTAATCCTATTTTAAAACCCCTAAAAAATATAGACAAACACCATGTGGCCATGCTGTCTACACAACTCGTTTGCTGATTGGCCCACTGCGTGCAAAGTATTATGGTTACGTGGCTGGCTGAGCGGGCGATAAATATTTGGTTTAGGCGATAATGTTTTTGGGTACCTACATGCGATTCACTCTGATAAGTGGCAGAAAAAAATTAACTAGACACAATTTTATGGAACACAGTTACTTTTCACTTCACACATGTTTCAAGGATGATTCTCTCTGTGTTTTATTTTAGCAATGTAAACCATATTAGGATATGTACAGGTTTTATACAGATAGAATCTTAACTAACCCTAATAATTGTTGTAAATAAATAGGAGGGGGGGGGGGTCCAAGTATATTCAGACCCCCGCAGAAAAAAAATGGGGGGGGGGCGGACGCCTCGCCCCCCCACCCCCCGGACCCCCCACCCATGTGTGACGCCCATGGTGCTGTGACATGATCAACGACGACGTCGTCGTATGAAACGTCAATTCACTTGACGGCGCATAATATATTCTAGATCGCATATACGAAGTTTCATTCCACTAAACTTTTGTTATAGACTGTACATTGGATTGTAATCTTTTATATTGGTGTACAAATTTTCAGCTGCTTTTCAAAGTCTGAATATTTTGCTACGAATAGTTTTAGATTAAAGATTCATTGTGTGAGAGTTATATAAAGAGCTGGTCGTTCTTGTTATAAATGAATATATTGAAAATTTCACTCAAATTACTTTATAGCTATGATTGGCAGATGGAAACTGCGCCCACCGTTCATATTCTCGATTGTCAAGTACATGATAATTAACGGAGTCTCGATTGTCAGTAATTTCATCAGAAGTCATCTGCCATAATTATCGTTTTATGGAGATATGACGGACATTGTCCAATTCACTCAGCCAGCCCCCCTCCCCTCCACCCGTCCCTGAATTATTGCGATATAGACCGACTCGTGTTGCTACACCTGTGTCCAGTGGTGGACTGGGTATGACAATATTGGTTGCCAGGAGACAAAGGGGGTCCACCCACCAATACAATTGTATCATTTAATTTTTAAAATGAATCAATTAACTTTTCAAAAAATATGTAAGTGGAAACAAAAAGATGTAATTAAAATTTTTCCGATTTTGTTTTCTTTATATTTTTTGATAATTTATATTTTAAATATGTTGTCTATTCCTCAGGGGCCCACTTGCCATTTGGCAAGCTGACAACCTGGCCAGTCCGCCACTGCCTGTGTCGACTTCTTGATATACTGACCATACACAAAGGAATTCCGTATTATTTAAACGTATGTAATTTAAATCATCTACCTTAGCTTCTTTCCTCTTATAAATATAAATTTTGTATCAAAGTAATACAATTATATTTTGTTTTAAATGTGATTACCATAATAATCGAACATCTACTGAATATTGTACGATATGTAAAACAAGTCACTGATCATTAAAGGTGGTAAATGATTAATGAGGGGTGGTGCTATGTTCGAGTCAACAACAAAAATGTGTTTTCTTTTATTCCCACAAACTGCTTATTGTCCTTAATCTAGATTATCCCATTATATATAAGACTAAAACCTCGTTTAAATTGATTCAGGTTGCTATACAAATGTAAGAAAAAATCATTACCCGCGCACGAACTGCTATTATATTATATGATTCGTGAACGGGTGCAGGTTATCCTGTCTGATTAAAATCGTATGTATTGTCAATTACGTTTCGTTTTAATTTTTATTTTGTACTACCTTAATGGCAAAAATCAAAATAAACGAAACGAAATTGTAATCGATTTCAATTAGATTGAAGGTTATGAAACGATAGATAACGCAATGTCTTAAGCTTGAAAGCATTAAACGACGTAAAATACAGACACTCCGCGCGTGCTTTTAGTGAGAAATACGTCACACGAGTCCAATATTTCACTAGTATAAATAATGTACGATCGGCAAGTTGTCCGTACTATTATTTGAAATACTGGTACGCCAACATCAAAGGGTGACGTCACATCTGTATTTTAAAAGGCAGTAAGAAAATTGCATTTATGTCTTGTGTCCCAACAACTCGCGCTAAGATAGTATTTAACAGACAATAAAACATCATTGAATGCATTTTATGTTATGTTTAATTGTTTAATAATAATTACTTTTTAGTCTTCCCATTGATCGTGCAGTATCTTTCTGGAATCTTATTTAAAGGGCGTATAATATATAGCTGTAACCTTTGAAACCTTATGTAGACGAAAATGGGTGCAAAAGTACATTTATGTAACACGAGTGCATATAACGCGTTTACATTCAATATTTAAAATTTGATTGTAATTTCTAATCAAGTATGTTTGTGCCTGCTTAGTCAATTCTGCACAGTTATTTTACAATCCTAGGTCATTGCTTATGTGGAGACTTATAAATACTTTAAGGATACATTATACAACTTACAAGAGCTAAATTTGCCTATTGCAGCTCTTTTTTCCGGCCTCAAATGTTATATAAGTTATCATTTAGATATTTATTAACATGACAAGCCTATAATCTACTCTAGAGACCATCGGATGGCTTAGATATTGAATGGATTAGAACGTGTGCACCATATAATCGGCTAACGTTAAAATAGACATCGCACAATAAAAGGACTGACAGTCGAAATTTCGTTTATTATCATGACAATGATACTTGACATTTGGCTATTATGATTGACAATTTCAATATATGTATTCATTTTTCATTATCTACTTTAAACTATTGTATCAAGAACTGACGGCTTTTTTTTAATTTAAATTTTACATAAATTGTGTTGATTATAATAAATGTCTATTACACTTAATCTAACTCTTATTGACAGAGATAATAAGTTGACGAAAACAAGATTTGCTATCAACGCCATTCTTTCCCATAATCCATTAAAGGATCAGATCTCAGTTTCTGGTAAACAAATAATAATGTTAAGTTGAGATTTCTTATAGTTAGAGTTAATTAGTCAAAACAGCAGAAATACCAGAAATATTGTCTTATATTTGATTTACATACGAAAATCATATTTAATCGTTTCAATAGACAGAGTGGAACCGAGTTCGATATCTGAACATCAATAACTTACCGTCGTCTTCTGAATAATTATATACCTGGGAATCCATAGCTACGAGTAATATTGGATTTTACATTGGAAATGAGTGCATCATGGTGATTTGTGATTTTAAACGCGATATTCCTTTAATTGTTAAAATATCAAACACATCTCATGATCAGTAGACTCTATTTATTTACGTAAATATCAATTAGTGAAAAAAAATCAACAACAAACCAACAATTTATCAACATGGATCAATTTTAGACGAGAAATCAACTGCAGGTCTATTTGAATCCAACGAAACAAAACTCGATAAAGCTGAAAGGAGTTAATTTGGACAGGATACCCGCGGCTTATTTCCATATTAATTGATGACTTGTGGCCACCCATGGTAAACAATCGGATCCGCACCTTTATTAATCGACATGTAACAAAACAACAAATATTAGATGGTGGTATTACAGTATATACATTGTTACAGTCATATAATTTTTGTATATTTCTCCTGGCAGCTCAGGATATCGGACCGACCTTTTGTAAAAAGGAACTTCAAGAATATTCTAAATGTTGACTGGGCTCTACTGGTGATTTATTCCTTAATATAATGGATAATGACGTCACATAAACACATATTATAACTATTTTGTCTAAACTGACTAAAAGTCAAGAATTATAAAAATAGAAACTTCTTTATTCTACCATTCAAGATGTCTCCGCTACGAATTATTTATTTAATGATCCTGTTTAATGGATTGTTTTGTGTGTCTAATCAATCTACTACCACAAGTAAGTGATGCTCTTTTATTTTAAACGGACATCTTTGATTTGGATAAAAATAAAAGTGTCGATTTAATTAAATGCAGTGTCAAGATAGTATAACAGTGTGGGCGAAAACGAAAACAAATACTTGTAAACGAACCATCTTTCATTTTGATATTTTGACCGCCGACACACACCCCACCGAATAATATAAACATATAGATATTGTCCGGGCATTAAACGAAATAACATAATATACGATGAAAACAATTCATCACTTTATTTTGATAAAATATGAGGTTTAGCTCCTATCAACGAGTTCGTGTATATCTGTTCTCATGGACTATGGATACTGAATTAAAACATACCAAGTAGTTTATTTTATATTTTGATAAGACTAAATAAAAAAACTGCATATTCGTTTAAAAAATGTTCTAATATTATACTTTTAAAAAAAAGAAGGGGATATTGAAATGCAAATACCTATGCAGGTTGTGATATGATAAATAGTCATGGACACTTGACATGCTTTGAGAGTATATATGTTCACATATGAAGAACTTATCGCCCCAACAGAACCACTGAGCTGCACATGCGACACGCAATAGCGCCATAAACGTGGGAGGGGTTCATTGTCAAATTTGACACTTCAAGGAATGGTTGATGAAAACTGCCGGGTGCTGGTTTATACTACCCATGTTTGATTTCCTATCGGTTCTTGCATAAGATTTATAGACCGGAGGCTCAGCGCGGGGGGGAGAGGGGTCCATCAAATGGGCACAAAACCAGACCCAACTTTCCTAGAGTAAAATTTTGCGTAGAATACGATGCCGAGTGGTAATCAGTCCGCCGTTGGGGCGTTTTCGAGATATTCGGGGTCAAAGGTCAAATGAGTTCATTTGCACTGAAAGTAAATGCGCAGTCATTCTTGTATTATGAAAAGACGCTGAAAATGATCGAAAGTAATCACACTTTCAATAAAAATGTAAACTTGCTAAATTCACCTTTTGTCTTTGTGACCCAGAGGTCTAAAGGTGAAATTTACCGTTTTTGCACGAGGAAGATTTAAAGCAATAAAATATCAACGTAGAATATAAAAAAAAACTAAAGCGAAACCTGTTCTAATTAATAATAGGAACATTTCAAATTTATCTTTAGGTGGTCTTAGCACCGAACTTTTACTTTGGAACGTCGAAAATGATCTTGCATAACAGAAACAACACACTTTGAAACCTGTTTCAAAAATACGTAAAAACTGTCAAATCGAAATCTCTCCGATTTATTTTCACAAGGATTGTTATACATAATACTAGTTATCTGAAAACAATTGAATAGTTTCAGTATTGGACTCCAGCCTGCAGGCCGCGTGGATTTCCGAGAATCCCAGTCTAGGAAAACCGATGTTAATCTGTGACGGGAAAACACACATCTGGCGACGAGATTAAAAGTTTTCAAACTTTTTATGAGTTTTTATGAATTTCGCCGGAACATGGACGCAGATAAAACCGACGAATGCATTGTACATAGTAGTTCACAGGATATATATGTCGTATTAATAAATGTTAGCGGAGAAAATTTTGGCAGACTTTGTGACGCGGCCTGCAGGCTGGAGTCCAGGCATGGAACTATTTAATTGTTTTTTTTCAGACAACTAGTATCATTATGTATAGCAGTCGTTGTAAAACTAATTCGGAGAGATTTTGATTTAACAGTTTTTACGTATTTTTGAAACAGGCTCCGAAGCGTTTTGGTTCTGTTATGCAAGATCATTTTCGACGTTCCAAAGTAAAAGTTTGGTGCTAAGACCACCTAAAGATAAATTTTTAATGTTCCTATTATTAATTAGAACAGGTTTCGCTTTAGTTTTTATATTTTACGCCGACATTTATTGCTTTAAATCCTCCTAGTGCTAAAACGGAAAATGTGACCTTTTGACCTCTGGGGTCACAAAGAACAAAGGTGTATTTAGCAAGTTTACATATTTATTGAAAGTGTGATTACTTTCGATCATTTTCAGCTTATTTTCATGTTACAAGAATGACCGCGCATTCACTTTCAGTGCAAATGAACCCATTTGACCTTTGACCCCGAATATCTCGAAAACGCCCCAACGGCGGACTGATTACCACTCGGCATCGTGTTCTATGCAAAATTTTACTCTAGAAAAGTTGGGTCTGGTTTTGTGCCCATTTGATGGACCCCCCCCCCCCCCCCCACGCGCTGAGCCTCCAGACTATTACTGTTTACCGTATCTTTTCTTTAGTGTGTTACGTTTAATTTGTAATGAGACGTCTCCAACATGATGAACGTCTACTTGCTATTGGCATGCTTCAAATGAGTTCTACACAGCGAGCAGTAGCCAACATGCTTAATGTGTCACATTCTGTTGTCAGCAGACTTTGGAACCTGTACCAACAAACACAATGTTGATGATAGACCTCGTTCAGGTCGTCCTAGAGCCATGTTATATAATCACAGATTATCTAATGTTATAGACGCTTGACACCTGTTCGCTATCGACATCCCTGGTGTTCTTGGTCTATGTGATTATGTAACGATTAGTTAACGTTACCTTGGTGGCATGTCTTATTTAAATTTAAACTTTCTTGGATGATAAGCAAATGTTAAACCTGATATGATACATGATACATCAGCCAGATGTCTAATAAGATTCCTTTGTCTGGAATGGTATATAAGCCCAGATAGCAAACGAATCGAGAGAGAGGTCCGGACAGGACACGAGAGCACAGGCCGTGGGCGCCTCGACTCGGCACGAGACGGAACGAGGGAGTGCGCCCGAGAGTTGGCACATTTATGCCAAGCTAGAACATGGCTCCCTCAATACAAGTTAGTTATGGAGTCTTTAAGTTTTGTACATAATATGTTAGAAGAAGCAGAGAATAAAAGTATTATAAGATGTTAAACTAGTTTTGTAATCAAGAACCTGAAAGAACTAATACTGTCACAGCCACTACACCAGCCCAGGATCGATACATTCGTACACAGATCCTGCGAAATCGAGGACAATTCGAGTTACCTCCAGCGTCACCATATTGTCCATATGCCTTGGCCAGCCATGGCCAGCCATGAGTCCTGACCTTTCCTCTATAGAGCATGCCTGGGACATGGTCGGGAGACGTGTTCGTCGACGTCAACGTCCACCGACAACACTGCAACAGTTGGTCGTGGCACTCTAAGAGGAGTGGGTCAGATTGCCCCAAATCGTGATTGGACGGTTGATTAGGAGCATGCCACGACGAATTGCTGAATGTCTGAGGATTGGTGGAGCAATTACTCATTATTAAGACAAAAATCAAAAACGTCCATTTTCACTTTTGACAGTGTATCTCTTTGCGAGTGAAATTGGGCCGTCAGATAAGCCGCCCATATGAACTGTTTATGTTCATGTGTAGGAAATTGGCCTGTTATTAACATACACTGGTTACCGCTAATAGAAACCGCAGTGCATTTCCGCAGTTTTGTATTGTTTCTGAATATCCCCTACTTTTTTTGAAGAGTATATATTGTTTATCAGCTTAAGATCAACGAAAGTCTTGGATTATTTGTGAGCGATTTGTAAGTGCATAATCGGGACGACCAGCTTTCGGCATTGATCAATCTACTTCAGAATGCACACTTTTATAATGTTTTCGACGACGAGATTTTGTCTTTGTCTGGTGGTTTATATGGACAATAAATGAGCAAACAATTTACTAGTCTATGTAAGCCAGAATAAATTGCTGTCATTAATCAGCTTCTAATCATAAATATTTTTTAATATCTTTGTTTTTATCAATTTCAACCAATTTACATTCTCTTGCTTCAAAATTAGTCGTTTCCCTGTATTATCTAGAATCCTTTTATAAGACGGAAATCTTATTTCACAAGATTGTGCAAGCCAGGCAAATCAACGAATGTTTTAAGAACCCTGTAAAAGCAAACGGAAAATGAGACTGTTATTAATTTGCTGCCTATCTTCGGAGTTATAAATGCTACAACCCCCCCCCCCCCACCAAAAAAAAAAAACCAAACAAAAAACGCCGTTGTCAACGTACAGTAAAATAGCAAACTGTAAATTAACGGATTTTCTTTAAACTTGGTGTGAAGCATTGCGGTCATAGGAGGACGAAACCTATCGGAATATCCCCAGCGATAGAGTCTAGGGGGGGGGGGTGGATGGCCGAATGGTTAGCACGTGCGCGCTATATCATAAGGCCTGTCATTGAGTCAACTGACGCGGATTCGAATCCCCGGTTGTACGTGTGAAGGTGTAGGGTCGCCTGTCCAACCTCGCGGGGTTTCTCCGTGTCCTCCGGTTTCCTCCCTCTGCTAAAGACCCCTACGAGCAAGTGAGTTATTGAAATAAAAAAACAAAACCATATGTTAGTTCCAAAAGGACCTGGTTTGTGTCGAGTGGATGTTAAACACCATCTCTCTCTCTCTCTCTCCTCTCTCTCTCTCTCTCTCTCTCGATCGATAGAGTCTACAGATATGAACTGATTTCATTTAAAATTGAATGTGAAGCATTTAAGAATTTGGGCGAGAGGTTATGTCTCCACATAACCACTGACCTAGGATGATGAACATTTGGTTCGTGATATTTCCTAGTTTTATAAAAATACATACATAAGATTTATATACAAAGTAGATTTATATACAATGGGAATTGTGTGCCAGATGTTTTGTTATGGAAATGCTCGGATATGTTTATGATTTAGCATGTTTGACATCTTGGGTGGCCACAAGTTTTGGTTTTAACTGCTGATTGCACATTATTTGTTTCTTTTGCGGCAAGTTCAGCTAGAGCGTTGTATTTTATACGTCAGAGATGGGGATTGGAGTGTTCCCTTTCTCTTATTTTGCAAAAGTCGGTCTTCTGATTACATATTCTAAGAAAACGGAGAATCTGAGATTTAATGATGCCAGAGAACGTATTTTTGGGTGAAAGGAGCTTTTAAACAATAATTGATGTGGTTCGGTTTCTTTGAAAAATACTTTAGTTTCTAATTGGCGTGTGTTTTTAGTGT